CCTTTGCCTGACAAAATAGGTCTTCCAGGGGGATGAGTCAAATTTTTATGAATATAGGTAAAGCATACAGGGTAGGCATTCAAGAAGTCTTAACATTCAAAAATTCCCATGTTTTCTTATCAGTAACACCTGCATTGTAAGATCAACTGATTAGGCTTCTATACTTAGTTGTTATTTGATCAAAATGAGTAGCAGAGATTTGCTTATACCATTCTCGGTTGTTTAAAATATCCATAACCATTTCCTCATACTGTTTGGAGTCCATTACCATCAGATTACAACCCTTATCGGATGGTTTGATAACAATCTGACGGTTATGGCTCAAACTTGCCGCGGCTGAAAATGTTTTGAAAATTATCTTTAATGACTTTTAAAGTGGAGAATACAAAACAAAGCCTATTGGGCATACCCAGGCTTGATCAAATCACAAATAATAGTAAAAAAAAAAAAAAACGAGGCAAAGCATAAGGTGAATGACAAGAAACAGATGACTGTGACGATTGTGCGCCATAGAGCCATGGATGCTGTACATGAACAGCCATCTTGTTAGGTCGCAGCCATGTTGTCTCTCCTGTCCTCCCTCTTCCCTTTTGAATGGAATGTGAAGCTGTAAGTGAACAGAGGTCAAAAGTGCCTCTTATCCTAAATGAACATAGCTAGATGAGCTCCATGGCTGTAAACCACTAATTAGTCTGGTTCCAGGGGGTCTGCTTGAAAACCACTTTCCTCTGCCCGATTGTAAAACAATAACTCAGTCAGTCATGACCTGTTAGCCCATTAGGGTTAGAGTGTGCCATAAAATGTACATTCCACATGTCATTTTTCATACAAATTTATAAACTTCAGGAACTGGGCACATTAATATGAAGTATATATTCGGATAGGTCATTTTAATATGAGTCACATGACACCTTACATCTCTATGTTAGCGCCTACAAGAGAGTAGAAAGTAATCTTTTATCCAGAGTGGCAGGATATGCTATGTTTGGTACCTGTGTGTTTGGAATATAATTCTAAATATTAATCTGCCAGTTGCTACCTGTACCTATTATTATTATTATTATTATTATTATTATTATTATTCAGTATTAATATAGCGCCAAAGGGTTTGCTCAGCGCTGTACAATAGTGGGGGGGGACAGAACCTGAGACAAAACAGTACAATACAATACACGATGGGTTCAAGGGCCCTGCTCTTTCAAGCTTACAATGTAGGAGATTGAAGGTTATTGACCGTAGTATGAAATTGTAAGGGATTTGGTCACAACCTTGGTTACTGCCTAACACCCATCCCCAAATTGGATGATTGGCCATTTGTTCTCAGGAGACACCCCTTTGAGATGATCGAAAAAAAGACTGTCAGCCTGGAGAAAAATGAGCTCTCCTTTTAACATTGATTAGGAACCATCTAAGAGCCAAAGCAGCCTTTTGTTTGGACGATTGGACTCTGCTCAAACCAAGGACTTTTGCAAGTATTCTGCCTTCTGAACTTCTTTCTTTTATTTTCCTGTTGTTTTATTGCTCTCTTTATATCTTTGTTACATCTTTTTCTGTAAATATTTTAATTGCACCAGTTTGACCTTTTTAGTAATAAATCCTAATTTCTGAAAAGTGTTGAACTGTCTCTAAAGAATCCCTGTCTCTGAAGAGTGCTACTGTATGTAATAATCCTCTGATTACATCTGTCTGTGGTGACAGTGTGTATTACAGAAGCTTATACTAATAGTGTTACTGCTAAGATTTGTGAGTTTCCAACTCCTCTGTAAAAAGGTGGTGGTGGCAGTGTGAAGGGTTAATTGCGTAATTAACCTGACCCAGGAACATTTGCTCTCAGGCTGCTGTCACATAGATTGTGGTCCTGCGAGCTGCAAAATCTTTGTGCAGGGCGCAGCTGAGAGTGGCATTGTTACGCAAGTGACCGCGTGATGTGAGATCAGCTGGTCGTTCGTTCACGAGTTGGTGAGAAGGGCTGGGGTCTGACGCCACGCACAGTCACAATGACAACCTCACCCAATGAGATCACAGGGCTTAGATATGGCAGAAGACAATTCCCACAGAAGAAGATCACTGACAACCCACACCGAGCAATTCTGTGACAAGAGGTAGAGAACCATCACTTGATCCTAATCAGAGGTGGAAGGGACTGATTCGGAAGAGTCAATCCAGATATGCCACACCTTCATAAATTTAGCGGGACACCCCCGAGATTCAGAAGTATATTTATACATAGGGAGAACCAGGGGTGGACTGACAGCTCATAGGGCCCCCGGGCAATAGGGGATCATGGGGCCCCTGTGTCCTTGCCCAAACTCAAAAAAGGCTATGAAAAAGGTACCAGGGGCATCTCATAGGGCCCTCTACTGACCCCGGGCCCTCGGCAGTGCCCGAGTTTCCAAATGGTCAGTCCGCCCCTGGGGGAGAACCATATTAACCAGTTGTTTCCAGAAACTGGATGTGGGAGCATGAGGAGACATCCACTTTAATAGTATCGCTTTGCGAGCATAAAAAAGCAAGAAACCAATCGAGGTTCTCATGGTGCGAGAGATAGCTAAGGCCTGAATCAAACCCAACAGACAAACCTCAATAGATAGTGGTACAAGAACCGTGGTTATAGAGGATATAATGTCAACAACATTTGTCCAGTACCTCTGATAACAGGGCAGCTCCAGAAGATATGTAAACGGCTGTCTTTTGACCTGATGTTAAGTTGTATGTTGATCTTCCTTTCCATTTTACTCGTTCAATTTCCTTGGTAACCTGCTGGGTAAATGCCCAAATATTAGGATTCCCTTGTAAAGTGGGAAATACTTTGGATTTTTTTTTTGTAAAGTTGGGGGGAGGGAAAATTAATGGAGTAGAAGCAGATGCTCCTGAAAGAAGCCCAACTTTATCTCCAATTGCCACAAGGGCACCAGATTCATCTGAATAGTTTTCTTTTATCCCACAGCTCCATTAAGCCATTCAATGCCTTCATATCATTTATTGTCATACTAGTTAATAGATGATTATCCAAAGATTTGAATTCAGATTCTGAATTCTTTTTGTCATAGAGGACCTTTAAAACTCAATCTCTGGGCAAACAAGTGCACATCTTTAATCAACTCAAAGCAATCAATCTTTTGTTCAGGTTTTTAATATATAAAGACACACCTGGTAAGGACGGCCTTGGTGGATTAACCCCACAAAAACCCACATTTAGTAGATATTCGTAGATATTGATTTTGTATGTATTGTATTGATGATTCTGTTACTATTTTTTTGTAATTCTGTAAAGTTAAAATTGTTTATTGTTGTATCGTAGTTTTCTAGTAGCAATTACATGTAACTACCTGTAAAACTCCTGAAGAAGCCAGAACTTTGGTTAAACATGTGGAGTTGGAATTGTTACATTGTGAACTTCAAGCCATATGAAGTATCATGTTGGTTTATATTTTTCAAAGCTACTAATGTGATGTAGTTTTTTTTCTATGTTAATATGGAATTAAGCTTTGTATTGATTTTAATACATACGAACTATCAAATTGAGCACTTAAAATCTCTTTTCTTCTCATATAATGCCAGTCTTTCTTATTGTTGTGTCATAAACACTGAGTTTAACTAAGGCAAGTGAGGCCTGCAGTTCTTTAGATGTTCTGGGTTTATTTGTAGGCCGGCCACTCCTGGAAAGGGTTACCACTGCTCTTTTTTCCATTTTTGAATAATGGCTCTTACTGTGGTTCACTGGAGTCCCAAAGCCTTAGAAAGGCTGGGTAACCCTTTCCTGACTGATACATATCAAATACTTTGTTTCTCACCCGTTCTTGAATTGCTATGGATCGTAGTATGATGGTTTGTGAGTTGTTTTTTTTTTAGCCTGCTTCACTTTGTCAGACATATTCTATTTAAGTGATTTCTTGATTCAACAGGTCTCCCAGTTATCTGGCCTAGGTGTAGCAAGTTAAATTTAACTCAGTTTTCCAAAGAAATGTGGTTAATCGCAGTTCATTTATGATTTAGTAATGGGGAAGGGGGGGAGTAATTACTTTTTTCTCATAGGGCCTGGCAGGTTTGGACAGCTTTTTTCCCTTAATAAATTAAATTATGATTTGAAGTCTGCATTTTGTATTGACTATGGTTATCTTTGTGTAATAATAAAATTTTGTGATGATCTGAATCATTTAAGTGTGACAAATATGCAAAAAAAAAAAAATCTGGAAGGGGGCAAATACATTTTCCCAGCACTGTACTCTGTATGTGTTTCTATTTCTGTTTGTGATCCCATTAGGGGATTTCCCCTCACTTTCCATCCTGTTGACCGCAAAAGAAGTTAGAGGAAATCTTCCTAAGGGAGCACAGTAAAGTTTGATACATTGTGTCCCAGAGGGGAGATCTTTTCAACCTATCCAAGGTCCCCAGCCCTATCCAAAACTAGCAAAAAATAGTTGAGTTTCAAAGAAGTTACTATGATGTCAGACAGACAGACAAATACCGTACATTGTGGCGGGTGCAGTGTTCTCAAATATGGATCTCCCTACCTGTTCTAAGGTAGATATCTCTCTGTCTATGACTACTTTAAGGGGTTATAGTTAGATCTACCAAAGGCTGTATTTTTAAAACTATGAAAAAAATAGTCATGCTAGTAATTGCCATATCAATTATAAAATCAGGTTTAAGGTACAACAATTTGTAAGAATCAATATATTCTTTTTATTAGATTATCCCAACTTGTTTAATTATTCAGGCAAAACCTTTAATAAGATAATATTTTGCTGGGTTTCTCAACATGGCAAAATATTTGATGACGTTGGGTACATTTCTGTTCAGTTATTTTGTGCATATTTTATGTGCTGCTGTACAGATGGCATTCTTTTGAATCCCGGTACACTATTCTTTAGTAAACCACTCCAGCTCTCAGCAGCAGTGAAAGCAAGTTAAGATTGTAGTTATCAGCATTACGTGTAGGAAGATATCAGCATCCATCAAATCCATTATGATGATGAATTTATTCCTTTTGCTTGCAGGCGCCTTGTGGAGAGATTAGAAAACATGCGGAAAAATGTGATGGGAAATGGGATGTCACAGTGTTTGCTTTGTGGAGAGCACCTTGGATTATTGGGCACAACGTCTGTCTTCTGTCAAGACTGTAAGAAGGTAATATAATAAATTTTTAAAGACTTTTATTAAAGGAAAATATATTTCATGTTCATGTTTTTTTTCAAAATATCACACACACTCATAAAAGAAACCAAAATGTATATAATTTCAGTAAGCAGCCAGTTGTAAGAAATTGGATGAATCAAAATGTGGCCTGTTCAGCAGGGACCAGCTGAATTTCAATCCATTTACGGATGCTCCCACTTGACACAAGTCGATCTAACGAGCAACTTCTCTTAAATGGGACTAGTGGCAACTTCTGTTCAATCAGCGCCTGCAGCCAATCGGCTGCAGAGCTGATAGGTGTATTCTGACAGCAAAACAGCCCTGCTGTCAGAAAATAATAGCATAGCAGGGAGATTTCCTCCATCCACTTTAGTTGCGTGGATTGGGGCCTCAGTCACTATAACCTCATGTAGGGAGATTAAGCATTAAGTATCCCTAATTAAATGCAATATGTCTTACAGCTGTATGTAGCCAGCTTGAGATACCGTATGTTTACATTTTCTGGACTCTGCAGGCTTTCCTAAACTGAGTGTGTTTGCTTCTGCCTCATAACTTTGAGAAGGAATCTCCAGTAACAAGTGTAAGGCAATCACTGAGTTAAGAATACTTGTTTACCCCAGCCATTCACTGAGGAATTTGTTCAGTGGTGTGAGCTGAGGGAAAGTGATAAATGTTAGAGAAACCTTCCAGAGTGTTTCCAACCTGGGTCTTGCCCCAGACAAGGCTTATGCTAAAGGTTTAGGGAATTAATTCAGCTTGGAACTTCCATAATCAATTTTACTGAGGTGTAAAGTTTAAGTGAGATTTCAAATGCTGATATATGCAGCCTAGACCCAGTCTGTGTGGACACTGTGGCAAATCTACCAGGCTACACTCCTAAGCTATGCTGGAAAATGGGAAAGTGACCTACAACTACAGGTTGTACCACTAGACTCAAATTTGAGCAACTACTCAAATTTGAGCAACTACTAAGTCTTCCTCCTGTAATGCTGCTGGGGTGGACATTAGTTACAAAGTACTACTCCAGTGGTACATGGTCCCCACTAGGCTAGCCTTCATCAATCCTAACACTTCTGCACATGCTATCATGGCAATTTGAAAGGAGACACCTTTGTCCATATTTAGGAGACCTGTTTGGTAGGGCAGCATTTGTGGTGCCAGGTTTATGATATGCTGAACACACCTTTCTGTCAATTGGTGCAACTACATATGCTCGAGGCCCTCCTTAACCGTAAACCAGATGGCCTATCCCAAATCCCAATTTACTCTCATGATGCCTATCTTTACAGCCACGAGCAGGAGATTGCGAAAGAATGGCTCTCTGGGCACCTGTCGATCTCAGAGGTCAAATTGCATGTATATTGGACCCTACTCCACAAAAAAAACTTTCCGCTTGGCTCCATGGCAATATGCCCAAATTTTGCCAAGCCTGGGAACAATAGAATCTTTTAAATACAAGGACCATGGTAGACTCAGGTGTACGCAACCCCCCCAATAAATAAAACACACACACACGGTGGTATCAAAAGGTTTTGAAACTAGCTTTATTACGAAGTCTTCTTTGTCAAGGACCTTCTGCTTTCAAAGCTGAATCTCCACAATGTTGTCAAAACAGCGACCTTTGAGCTGGATATTCATCTTCAGGAAGAGGGCGAAGTCTGCAGGAGCCAAATCTGGTGAGAAGGGTAGGTGTGGAAGGGAAATCATTGCAGCCTGGGGATGAACTTGGCAGCAACACGGTGCATGTTTAAATCACACATGAAGATTGCCTGGACTGTTGTGTATGACACGCAGACAATGGCAGCAGTGTTGTGGATTGTTCTCAGATGATCATCATGCACAAGCTGCCAAATTGTTTCAACATTTCAACATTTTTGGAGGTTGAGCTCGTTGAAGGTCTTCCTGATCTTTCCTTGTCTTTCAGTGATGTCCTTTTCAGATCTTGAAGCAAATGTGCCACTCAAAACACCTTGAACGACTCATTGCAGCATCCCTATAAACTTGCCAAATCACGTCAAACATCTCTGTGGCAGATTTGCCCAGTTTCACACAGAACTTCATATTTAGCAGACGTGATTCTCAGAGCCTAAGGGTGCCATTCCAGTGGCCACCAGCAGGTGTCTCCCAGCAGTCAGCTTATCCTAGTAATTAGGCTGCACCTGATACTGGCCACTGGGAATTTAATCCCTTCCTTGATGAAGATTGGTGCTTCATTGTTGAACCATTCACTACCTGATCCTGTGCCTTGTATCCTGTGACCTGCTTCCAGTTCCCTGTACCCCTGCATCCAGTACTCTGTTCTCTTTGATTTGCTTTATCTATCACAGCTAAAGCACATTGTCAGTAAGGTTGCTGGGCATTCCCCCTTTTATAGTAAGGGAGCTAGCTTAATCAAAAGCCTCCTTATTGACCCTGTGAAGCCAGTTGACCGAAATTCAAGAGCCAGGCAGAACACTGTGAATACATAAGTGAAATTCCACAGTACCATAATTTGTCAGGTCTGCAAACTGCAAATGTGCAGGATTCACTGCAAACCCATGGTAGCGGCTAACTCGAATATCATTCCTATTTGATTACTCACGAGAAGACCTATTTTCAGATTTAATACTTTTTTTGAATCCACATAGCATACATGTTGAGAGGTGAAAGGGGTGTCTTAAAGCGTCATTAAAACCAGAATGTAAAAAAAAATAATAATCACATTAAATATTGCATGGTATACAACACAACCTCAGCATTTTTACATTTGTTTTATGTAACGTAAAATAAACCTTGCTGATCCTACCATTCAGCAGTACTACCTTAATATCCGTGTCCCTGCTTCAGATTCTGATCCTATGGAGTGGCCATTGCCACCATTAGTGTGCATGTACCTGTTTCAGGGCACGGGCAATCAATTCACTTCCTCAATTTTTGCAGAAACGGGTTGATATCTCAAACTTGTTTAGATGACCTATATACCATACGTCATCAGCTTACTGGAGGCTCCTCCCACTGATCTTTCCTTGCAGATGGATCAAGCAGGAAAAGATCACCTCTACAAAACAAACTGGAAAGTAAGGTATTTACATGGTATTTTTTGCAGCAGTTCACTGCCATTGATCTTTATAGATATTGTTATAGCACTTAAATGACAGCGAACTGCTGTGTGTTTAATATCACTATAACAGTTTTACAAGTGCACACTCACTGGATCAAGCAGCGTCAAAAATAAGCCAACCTTAGTTACTACTAAGAGCAAAGGCACCATGTTCCCAACTGTTTGTGTATTTTGTGCACAATTTGGATGTCTCTTCCCAGCAGGAGAATGATTTTTGTCAAGTGGTGAGATGTAACCATTCAAACTGATGAAGTGTACGTGATGTATATCTTCTGGTGTAGGGACTCCTCTCTATCATTATGTATTTGTATTTAGGACAAAACATTAAGCATGTTGAAGAACTCTGAAGTGACAAATGATTGACTGTTTTCATTGTCCAAAACCACATACATCCAGCTTTCTTTGGTTCCTCTCAAGGAAACACCTTGACCAAACATTTTTTGGCACTAGTTTTCTCTGAATGTCCCATGTGACATAGTTCATTATATTTTGAAACCATCACTGGAGCCAATTGCTCATGCTTTTCCTCACCATGCTTTTAAGTGTATGTATTTTGAAGGGGCTTCTGTGAAAGGCTGACACATGCATATCACTGTTATATTCTGAAAACACTTAACCTAAACCTAGCAATCTCTGATCAAGTCATCTGTGGGTGTACAACCGCTAAAGCAAATGGCATGGATCCTTAGAAACCACCTGCATTCTTCAAAGTGCTTTTCCTTGAATACACAACATTTTCAGAGGGGGGTGTGCTTTGCTGCAAATGAGACAGTAGGAGCTTTGGTCTTTTCACCTTTGATCATGGTCACCACTGGTAGTGGTGAAAGTGGATGTAACTCCTGTCTTAACATTTAAGACAATGGAGGGGATTTACTAAAACTAGAGAGTGGAAAATCTGGTGCAGCTCTGCATAGAAACCAATCAGCTTCCAGGTTTTATTGTCAAATTTTAATTGAACAAGCTGAAGTTAGAAGCTGCTTGGCTACCATGCATAGCTGCACCAGATTCAGAGTGCACCTGTTATAGTAAATCCCCCCCTTTGCCTTTGTATTTAGGGTTGAGGTTTCCTTTTCTGGTAGTTGTAGTGCTAAGAATGCTTAATTCAATCATTGAGAATCTTGGGTCATTTTTAGCTCTGATTAAGTCTTTGATAAACTCTCAGAACAAGAAGAAAGATGGAGATAAGATTAGATGTTTCCCTTTATACACTGAATCCACTGTTGGCCATTTTTATTGCATATTGTAAGGTAATCTTATTACGACTGGGTTTACACCATCTGCAGTAAGGTAAAAAAAAAAAAAAAAACTTCTGCCTATACAGCCATTTTAAATATGGGTGTGTAACAACGTGTTAGCATTTAATCTGATTCTCAGTTAACTTCAGGGACATTGTGATTTCTAAGCTTGTCATGTACAGAGAAGTTTCCAAAATGAAAGAAAAAATTAATGTACGTTAACTTAAAACTGCAAAATACGAATGTGTTGTGGAAAGAAATAGGAGCACCATCAGGGAAACCACACAAAAACAAAGTATGTACCAACTCCAACAAGATAATTTTTAATATTTTAACTTAAATGTAGCACAATGAGAAACTATTTTTACTACTGTTTCATCATCTGAAAAAAAACATCCAGCAGGCAGAATAGAAAAGTCAAATCTGTAAAATTTCTCTGTCGATTAATTAAAGAAAGCTGGCCATTACATGAAAGGTAGCTACAAGGAAAAGTAGCCCTACAAAGCTACACAGGAAGAAGATATTTAAATTAGACAAGACCTTTTTATTGCAACGTCTGTGCATCCTACCAGTTTCCTTAAATCAAGTAAAGACCTTTAGGAAATAACTAAATCTGGAGTATAAAAATAGATAAGCTAAAAGTGCACTGATCTGTTTCTTTCTCCCACAGAAAGTCTGCACTAAATGTGGAATTGAAACTGTTGGCAGCCTGAAGCGACCCACATGGCTCTGTAAAATCTGTAGTGAGCAGAGAGAGGTAAATTGAGTGTTCTCCTTATGTTTTGTGCACCATTTGTTTAATTCCATAACAAACAGAAAATGCTTTTCTATTAACTTTATTACAACCTATAATTGCCAAGGATTGTAACTGAAAGTCATTTTTTTTTTTTTTGTTCTGTTAAATTGGGAAGTTTTGTCAAACTAGCAGAGCGGTAACAAAGAATATAGTATGCTTAACTGTGCTTTAAAGCTAAACTCCAGGCACAAAAGCTTTCATTGAGATATATACCTCAATAGCTACAAAGGGTATAAATCCACTTTGATTGCACTAAATGCCCAGGGAAACCCAGACATTACTGCATGAAAGTAGCAGTGACATCATCACTGCGCTGCACAGAGCCTGTGCAGAGAGCAGAGCTGTGGGAGGGACCCAGCAAGCCCCACCCACAACAGGCTGCCTGCAGAAAACTACAGGAGAGGGTGGAGACAAGACCAGTAGCAGTGACTGGTCTTTATTACAGGAAACGCTTGCACAGAGGAAACATTTTACATTGGATTACTGCACAAATCTGGAAGAAATACACTATGATTCAAGAAGAATTCACATGGCAAATGTAGTTCATGGCAGTCAGAGTACAGCCTTAACCACCATCTTGGTTCTGCAAACCTAAGGATTATAGGATATGTTTTCCAAGTGTATGAAGGAGCACACTGACATATACCTACCACATCAACACTAGACCAGGGCTTCTCCACTAGTGGTACATGAAGCAGTAATTTCAAATAGCTGAGTCATATCAGTGACTTATTTATTATGAAAAAGGCATGTCTTTTTTATTTCTATAGAGGCAGCACCGTAATGTTTTCACGGCTAAGAGACAGCAGAGCACCACCATTTCTGCAGCCTTTTACAGAGTACATAGTCATTAATCTTTGATGCTGCTCACAAAGTAACATACAATTTGATGTTTTTACTGCAAACTCTTTGACACATGAATGAAAAGATAAGAGAAACCGCCCAGATATCAAATGACATAAACACATGTGATATATTTGCACAGGATAATACATTTATTGCAAATATAAAAGGTTCCAAAAAACATGCATAGATCAAAACCAGCCCTTTAGTTAGTCCATAACCTCTCAAGAAGGCCAAGAGAAACTTCACAGATACTACATCGATGTGCCCAAAGAACCAAATTTTGTGTGACTGGTAAGGAAACAAAAGGGACTCAAAATGAATATTATAAACAAAATGATAGCATCCACTTACACCAGGGACCCGGTCTAAAAACAGCTGTGTGGCGTATTGTAGAAGAGAAATCCAACTTCCCACCTAATGGCGAATCAGCTGGGAGTAGGAGGAGCCACAGCCAGAGGAAGCGGTTCGCCCCACGTCGGGCCACCAGTGCCAACGGGGCTGAACTGTGCAAGCACCAGTCCCCTGCACGCCAGTCGGAAACGCATCAGCTAGCTGCCACATTCTACATCACTTCCTGGAAACCATAAAAAGTGTCCCTCCATTTCCAGCAATGCAATTTGAGGTGCAGTCTCTTTTTCAAGCTAAACATGGAGACAGGATTATAAAATTTGAATCTCATGGGGAGGGGCGGAGTGAGTGGCCAGTAAACTAGAGCATGCCCACTACACCAGTCTCACCAAAAAAAAAAAAATTTAAAAAATTATAAATAAACCGCTTTACCAGTAGATGAAGAAGCAGCATATAACAAAAATAAACTGAATACAAAAACAAAAAATCAAAGACCCACCACTTAATCTGTTACACAAATATACTAATCAATAAATTAACATGCAATACATATAACATTTAATTTTAATGGCATTGTACATCTTTTTTCGCTCATAGCAGGATTCATAGTCTTTTAAAACTTCTTGGTTAGTCCATTTTCTTAATAGACAACAAAAAATAGCATATTAATTTAAAGGCAAGCATTTAGATCTAAAATGCCCCAGAGCATCATCTGAACATGAATTAGTATGTTGAAATGAGTAGCTTGAGAAATGCATTTAAATGGTGATGAGCTCTTCATATGTATGGAGATGTATAACTAATGGTGTGTTCATAATGAATTAAGACTGCTTGATGGTAGAGACATTACTGATATCTAATTTTATAAGTAATGCACAGTCTGACAGTTTAGCAGTATATAATTGCCAGCCTGAACTTTAGGGTTGTGAAATCTTCTAGATGAATGTGTACAATAGAGCAACATCTATTTGATGCATTGCTGGAATAATACGTGTCTGTTGTAGCTAGGAGACTCTATTTTATGAGCAAGGTTTGTACTGTAATTATGTAGAGGTCAACTGCACAGCTGAGATTTTGAAGAATTTATAGGTTTGATTTTGCTGACAATGCTGTGTAGAGTATGCCGTTATTTTCCACTTGAACCTTTGTGTTGTTAGCCTTGATGCTGTTGCTTTACTTTGGATAACCTGTATCTTTTCCACTGTCTTAAAGTAAGTCAAATGTTTTAGGAAGACCCCATGCAAATAATTAGAATGATGTTCTAGTGGTAGTTTAGTTATATTTTATGTGCATTACACTGCTGGAGGTCCTTGCACAGCATTAAGAGTAGCTGCCCTCTGGAGTCTTATTGCCTACATTCCCTGTAAGGTACTGCTTAGTCAAAAAATATACTCTGCATTGTTGTAGATGTTTTTCAGCAGAGGACCTACCAACAGAAGCAGAGGAAGATGGTCAGACCGCAGTGGGGAAAGAAAAATGGGGAGAGCATGAAGACATTTCCAGGGCAGGACCCATCAAAGAGCTTAAATTCCAACTCCTCTTTATTGTCCTGCTTCCCAGTCCTCAAATACCCCTCCATACACCTATTTTTAAAAATGTTGTTATATTTTTATTTAATACAGGTCAGGTAGTTACAGTATAATATAGCACTATCAATGTATGCAGTGCTTTACATAATCTAAATTAATATATTTTTAAATTTACATATATTTTAATATGCACTGCTCAAAAAAATTAAAGGAACACTTTGAAAACACATCAGATCTCAATGGGGAAAAATATCATGCTGGATATCTATACCAATATGAACTTGTTAGGAACGTAAGGATGCCCCATCATTTGATGGACATGAAAATGATCAACCTACAGAGGACTGAATTCAAAGACACCCTGAAAATCAAAGTGAAAACATGATGCAGCAGCCTAGTCCATTTTTGCTTTAAATTTCATTACAACAACTCAAAATGGTATTCAGTAGTTTGTATGGCCCCACGTGCTTGTATACATGCCTGACAATTCCGTGGCCTGCTCCTAATGAGATTATGGATGGTGTCCTTGGGTATTTCCTCCCAGATCTGGACCAGGGCATCACTGAGCTCCTGGACAGTCTGAGGTGCAAGCTGGCAGCATCGGATGGACCAAAACATGATATCCCGGAGGTGTTCTATTTGATTTAGATCTGACAAGCATAGGGGCCATTCAATGATATCAACTCCTTCATCCTCCAGGAACTGCCTGCATACTCTTGCCACATGAGGCCGGTCATTGTCATGCACCAGGAGGAACCCAGGACCCACTGCACCAGGGTTTGACAATGGGTTCAAGGATTTCATCCCAATACCTAATGGCAGTCGGGTGCCATTGTCTAGCCTGTAGAGGTCTGTGCATCCCTCCATGGATATGCCTCCCCAAACCATCACTGACCCACCACCAAAACGGTTATGCTGAACGATGTTACAGGCAGCATAACATTCTCCACAGCTTCTCCAAACTCTTTCACGTCTGTCACATGTGCTCAGGGTGAACCTGCTCTCTTCTGTGAAAAGCACAGGGCACCAGTGGTGGACCTGCCAATTCTGGTGTTCAATGGCAAATGCCAATTGAGCTCTATGGTGCCAGTCAGTGAGCACAGGGCTCACTAGAGGACATTATGCCAGCCTCATGAAGTCTGTTTGATTGTTTGGTCAGAGATGTTCACACCAGTGGCCTGCTGGACCTTCTACAGCCCTGTACAGCTCTCCTAGAGTAACTGCCTGTCTCCTGGAATCTCCTCCATGCTCTTGAGACTGTGCTGGCAGACACAGCAAACCTTCTGGCACATATTGATGTGCCATCCTGGAGGAGTTGGTCTGCCTGTGCAACCTCTGTAGGGTCCAGGTATCACCTCATGCTACCAGTAGTGACACTGAGCCTAACCAAATGCAAAACTAGTGAAAAAAAGTCAGAAAAGATGAGTGGGGGAAAAAAATGTCAGTGTCCTCCACCTGTAAAGCCATTCCTGTTTTGGGGGTCATCTTGTTATTACCCATCTAGTGCACCTGTTAATTTCATTAACACCAAAGCAGCTGAAACTGATTAACAACCCCCTCTACTACTAAACTGACCAGATCAATATCCCAGAAGTTTAATTGACTTGATGTTATACTCTGATTAAAAAGTGTTCCTTTCATCTTTGAGGTGTGTGTATGTATATATTTCTGTGTATATCTATCTATCTATATATATAAAAAAATCATGTACATTCACATCCCTTCCTAACCCTTGAGCATACAATCTAAGGGCCAAATTAGACAGGAGCCATTTAACCTACCAGCAACCCAAGTGCTGCCAGGCAGAAGTGCTAACCATGTAGCCACTGTGCTTCACCGCATACATATTAGCCTGCATGAATACATGAATGCCACACATATTAATTCCATCTGTCCGTGGCAGCACACATAACAATCGGGGCCCTTGGGCTTTGTGATCCTCTCTGCTAGCTAAACAGCTGTAGAGCAAATCAGGTTTCCCAAGCAAATGCTCTCTCCCCTTTCCAGTCCAGGGGGGTGTAGGTATTCTCACGGAGTCCTTCTCCTGGGCTGCTGTTGGGGCGGTGGCTGCTACCAGGCCTTTAATCTGGGCCACTCCTTCCCTGCTGCCAGGTGGTCCTCTCTCAGGGGGATGGTGAAGTCCACAGCTTTTCTCCTTTCAGGCTCCCTCCCAAGCTCCTGCACCTCAACCTCTCTCTTCCACCTCC